GCCACTTCACGTCTCTTTGATTTTGAAATAAAACACAATATTTGACAACATCGCGCGCCGCGGTTGGGGCGGAAGTCTCCATGAATATTCATCGTCGCTGTTTTGCACAAGCCCCTTTACAGCCTCTAATGCCGGGATCATTTGCTTTAATTATAAAAACATTGTCAATTAAATTTGTAATTTTTTTTGTAAGCCCTTAATGTCCGATTGTCTATTGGGAGCTTTCGGAAATGTGTTGCGAATGACGCTTAAAATCGTGACAAAATTTCATTACCGAATCTAATAAGACGTTTGTGGAAGTAGTAGGTTAAATGGGACAATTAAATGTTTGTTTTAGAGTTTAATGTCCAGAGTTGAGATATCATTAAAAAAAATTACAATATCTTATATTTCAAACATTTTAGATCGAGAATACAAGAATTAGAATATAGTTGTAGTTTCGCAAAACGTTTATTTTAAAAACTTATTAATTACACATATCTCAACTACGTATAAGAGATCAGAACCATTTAGAAAAGTGAATTCACAAAATTGGCCCTACCGGGAATCGAACCCGGGACCTCCGCATCCAGCGCCCATAAAAAAATTAGCCAATAAATAATGTGAGCATTACTGCAGTCCAGTTTTGAAGGGTAAGGGTGCTTGTGAAATTACAGGCACATGGGACTTATGAACTTACATCGCAGGGTACAGCCGCAGTAGCAGTGCCCCTCAGATCAAGAATAAAAAGCTAGAAAAAAAAATTTATTTATTAATATACTGCTGGGCACGGGTTTTCTACAACGAGGGTTCACTTCCAATATTTTTGGATCTTAGGGAGGTATTATTCATTCTATATACATTTTCTGAAGTTTAGGTATACCTCCCAATTCCAATCGCTAGTTGTTATGGATTTGAAACATACTTTGTCTTATTTGAGAATGACCGAGGCTTGCACTCGAGAGTATTTGCACGACGCGGAGTTCTATGAAACATGAAATATACACCAGAGTTTCTAACTTAATAAAAACAATGTCCCGTAAAGATAATTTCTAGAAAACTTTTACTCTGTTTGAATACGTTGAAAGCAAGTCGTTCTGTTTGTTTTTACAAAGTGCGCCTTTTTATTTCCAAGGTAAAAGCAAGGTGCATTTATTACAACCAGTTTTTAGTGTAAACCAAGTTGTGTTCGCTAACTGTACATTTCCAACGAATGCTAAGTTAATTTGTGAGTTAAAAAATAGCAATTCATGGTTCTTACACTTTCAGGTTATGTACAAAAAATACATTTTACTCATAGGAAATGAAACTATTTTTCCGGATTTAAATCGCGTATATTTGTATATTGTATATATATATGTATATATATATATATACAATATATATATACATATATATTTTACTTATTTCAAATTTTTGCGTATTATTATATATATATATTCATGCTATTTTTTACAAGAAAATAAGGTTACATCATTTTTTTATGATACCACATGACGGGACGAAATCGTGTATTATTTTATTTTCTCTATATCGTACTTACCTTCCACAGGTGAATATGTATCTCTTCTTGGACGACCTCTCTGGTCGAGTAGCTTGTACACCGGTTTTCATGGTGTCGCCATCTCCGGGTTCGAATCCCGGCAGGATCAACGTAGACATATCCTATATTGTCTTTTGTGTCGTTTTTCTTATTTCCATAACACAAGTGCATTAATTACTTATTTTGGTATCACAGCAACACATGTGACGTTGTCTAATATTTAATATTCTTGGAGTCTCAAGTTCTTGTGCCGACCAGACCGACCCACCGTCAGCAAATATCAGTAGTAAATGAAATAAATATTTTTGAGCTACTGCCCGTTCACTGTGCGAACTTCCCTGAAAAGAACGGGCGGAAAACTCTAGGGATTGCACTTTGAATCATATTTGTGTGGAATCTAGACTCATGTTACTTGTTTTTCCATACATCTTTATCTAGCACGTCGTTTACAATTTCGTAATATGACTTTTCAATTAAAATACTTTTTAATGTAAATCTTAAACTTGGACGTGATAATCTTAATACATGCTCCGGAATCTTATTGTAAAAACGTACACAGTTCCCCATAAAAGAATCGCTTGAACATGAGTTTGGACTTTGTTCTAAGTTTAATATTATGGACGGTTTCTTTCTTAATTATATTATGTATATTTTTACGTACACACAAAATATTTGAGTAAATGTTCCAATACGAGTATATTATACTAATGTATATATACAAAATATCATACTAATATTTATTACGTTTAAATGTTCGAAAAGGTGAGTTAGTCTAAGTAACGATTAATCTCATGTAATATTACAAATTTATATTTTAATAAATTCATATTCAAATTCGTTCAACATTCTTGGAGACACGTTCAATGTTTAGAATTCACATACCTTATATGAGTGAAATTAATCTTTGTATATTAAAACACAAATCTTTGTATATTAAAATATATTAAAACACAATATGTTTGTTCAAACGAAACTATTATGAGTAGACGCCCTGTATAGTTGTAGTCATCGAAAAGTTTTAACTCTAATTTACACAGTTCAGTCAACTAACATGACAGTTAAATCGTTCAATTAAATTCAAACTAGTTAAACATGTAAAAGTAATTAGTCGCTACAAGTTAATTGCGATCCACACGAAATAAATGGCAAAGTTTGATTATAGTGTATCTGTTTTATTATTATATACATATTCACGCCTGAGAGATAAGTTTAAAGAGATTAACTTCTTACACTAGCGTCACAGTACATTTATGAAAATGTATTTATGTTAAGAAGAACATAGTATAATTTAATGGCAGGTTGTACTGCCACCATACCTATTTCTGCTACCAAGCAATAATGTCATCAATTACAGGCACTTGTCAAGTTATATCTCAGGGTGACGGGCGCAGTGGTAGTGCCCCTCAGATCTTTGAAATTTAAAGTAGAGATGAAACGGTTAGCGATTTTGGCCGGATACCGGATATCCGGTGATCACTTAGGCCGAATAGCCGGATATCCGGCCACCGGATATCTGACACACTGCCGCAAACGTGTCGCGACCGGTTTACAGCATCCGTCACCGTGATTGATTAACTACTGAATAATTGCACTTTCTCATTGACGATTTGATTTGTTGTGGTCACTTGATTTTTATAAAAACGGTTGATTTATAGGATATTACAAACAAATACATAACAGCGAAATAAAACGCATTTTTGGCAATATTTTAATATAAAAAACTGTCCTCTAAAGCTGGTCTCGTTTATGAAAGTAATAAAACCAACTTTTACCACTTGATGCAGAAAAACGTCATCATACACCGTAATTTGCCTATAATTAAATTTGAGTACAGACAACGTTATCTAATTTCATAGTTCTTTCAGTTACAAGTAATAAACAGATTGTCAACGATCCTGTAATTGCTGTTAATCCACTATCGTAATCAATAAATCAATTTATTTGGGATAATGATATATGTTTTTTTTCTCAGTTGTAAACATCCGGTATCTGGTCAGATATTGTTCTACTATCGGGTATCCGGCCATAAAGTAAAAATAGGCCGGATAGGCCGGATACCGGATAATTACCGCACATCCGTTTCATGTCTAATTTAAAGCTCTGAGTGGCACTGTAACTATTATGGACAGGCATGTAGCTTACCATCAGCATTGCCTCCTCCACTACCACCAGTCTCTTCATACATGCCCGTTTATTCTTCGTACTTTTAAACCGACCTATTTCAAGGACATCCCTAATAAGTACGCCGAGGTTTACCTCTTCCCACGCCTCTATCCACATTTACTCTATAAGTATGAACCGTCAATCTACCAACGTTTTATTACATGCCGAAGAAAACCACAAAATTCAATCTTGTATTTTTGGCGAAACGTTCATTCGACCAAAAGTTCCAAGTTGTGCGGCTGGTTCATAAACAAAATGCATTTGATTTGCAGTTGAATATTAGGTGTGGTATAAATGTGTGTACACGAAATTCAAAGGTAGTATATTTAATATTGGGTTACAGTATTGGGATAACGGAGTCGATCAAATCTCCCACATTTGCAATTGATGGAGGCTTTCTTTATTCTATTGTGACAAATCACGGTATAACAAAAAGCAATTTTACGATGTTATTTTTTACGCAATAAAACCCCATACACTTGTATGTGATTGATAAAGGATTTGACGGGTTGTTGAACGAAACAGAAATGTCACGTTGTCGATGTTTTTTCTGACATACACAGCCCGTTTACGATTCAACACGAAACGTTTACGTGGAGTTTAGGTTCTCTACAAGTACACTCTATAACATAAAGTAAAAGCACGGCGTGCTCCGGTGACACGCTGCGTTTTGCTTCTCCAAGTATTTTGAAACGAGACCGAAGCTGTGTCAACGAAGAACGTAAGGCAAGAAAATTGCATTCCGCTCAGACACTTAGCAGCACTAGAGCACTCAGGCAAGAACGTACTTTGAAATAGTAAATATTTATGCACGTAAAGGAAGTTCAATTTATGCACGTCACGTTAAGCATATAAAAAAATAGTTTGCTATTTGTTTTAAAATTCAAGACTAATATCTCAGCCGGTCTGAACTGAGTGAAGGCATTAATAATTCAGTGCGACCGCTCGCGGTATGGGAACATGTGCTGAACGAATCAATACGTCGATTTCTATTTGCATTTATAACGTTGCCGGTGGATATGGATTAATCTTAATGCGGTTTTTATCATGATTGATATTACCAGTAAAGGCAAACATATACCCATAAATAAAGTAGTAAGGAACATCTAGGAACTTGCACTCGTTTGATTGTATTACTATGGTTAAAGAATCTTGTTTTTTTCAAGGGTCTTTTCAAAGTGGACGCCAGGGCCTTTGTGTGATAGAGATGCTTTCAAACGCAAATGTTAGAAAGATATTCGTCCGGAATAACTTAAACACTGAAAAGGTGCTTTTAAAAACAGTATTATTGTATAAGACGTGTGCACGCACTCACCGTTCTATTGCCGAGGTTGCGTACGCGGCAGCTGAGATAGGCGGACTTGCCCACGAGCGCTGTAACGTTGCGCGGCGTAGCGGCGTCGAATGAGGGCGCCAGCCGCCCTGCGCCCGCGCCTCCCGCTGGCAGCGCGTTTACAGAACCCGCCCCGCCCGCCACGTCGCACACGCCTGGGAACAATCATCGTTAACTTGTCAAACTTCATTAGTATAATTGAAAAACAAAATTAATTAATACATTTATGTCTTAAACCTAAAAATAATTTGTATTAACAGTGTACATTAGTTCAGTAATTAATGTCACCTCCTCAATTCAACAAAGTCGCTCGAAACCGCAAAAGCATACGCAGTGAAAAAACATTACGGAGCAGTAGATGACCACCGTCCACGCGTGCTTCGGTGCGTATCTGAATCGGGTCGGACGCGAAGCAACGACGCAGTGCCACCACTGTGGGAAGGACCAGGATTACGCCCAGCACACCCTGGACGAGTGCCACGCGTGGGCGCTCGAGTGGAACACCCTGGTTGTCCGGATCCGACGAGATCTCTCTGCGCCAGGCATAGTGATGTTCTGGCGGACCAAGAGTCCCCTGAGGCAGTGGTCTCATTCTGTGAAGCGGTGATGCTGCAGGAAGAGGTCGCCAGTGATCGGGAGAGGGCCGATACCGCTCGGATCGGAGCGGGGGCTCAGTTTGCCAGTAAGTTTGGCAACTGCGAGAAGGACGATAGGGTGGTGTTGCCTACTTCATGAGGAGGGGGAGGGGAAGAACGTAGCTTCTCCCAGGTGCTGAGTGGGTTCCGAAGCACAAGTCGATTCCGGATCCCTCCCACTAGAGCACCCGAGAAGGCCAAAAGAAGAGAAGTACTACCACCATACCGATTTCTGCCGCCAAGCTGTAATATGAGCATTAACAGCGTTCCGATTTTGAAGGGTGGACGTGCGTTTACGCCCTACGTTCCGAATCCAAGAAATGATGATCCGAAATGTCACAGGGATCATTTTATCTCTAGATGCACAAGCGATAGTCATATTTTCTCGGATTCGAATGGACTTAGTGCACCGACGACATCCGAAGTGGGCCCGAGTTTTCTAGATTTGTAATCTCGGATGCAGTCCGCAAACGCGCTAAGGCTGCTGGTGAAATGACAGGCACATGGGACTTGACAACTTATGTCTCTGTGTGACGGGCACAGTGGCAGTGCCCTTCAGATCTACACGACTATCGCACGACTTGTTCGTGCCGTTGCTTGATATCATAAAAAATATACATAAATCCATGAGTACGTGTTAATATTATGTTATTTCGTCATTTACTTAAAATTCCATCATGCGAAATACATAAACCAAGTAATAAATGTTTGCATTATAACATAAAGCTGTATGTCAATAAGTAAAGGTCGTAAATCCAGCAACAAAGCCTCGAATTAAACTCGATCGCGCCATTCCCTCCGCGCTTTGGCATTGTTTTGGATTATTGCGTAATCTGTCTCTGTCTGCCTTATTATCCTTTTCATATATCTTTAATCACTTGTCTCTGTCGTATTATTGTACTGAATTATATGGGTACCTACGCCAAATGCGATAAAATAAAAAGGAAGAGGTAATAATAAAAATCCTAAACAGCGGTGTTGTGTTTTTCGTTCATTGTCACGGCAATTGTCGTAAAATGTACAAGCGTATTGGTATCATTATTTTTTACTGCAACAATAAAAAATGAACGTGCTGAAGATGCATCTATAATAATTGCTTATGCATTAATAATAATTATTATTATTCATTATTCACAACTATATATTATATATATATATATATATATATATATATATATATATGTTATATATATACCCATATTATGTACAAATTACAGATATATTAGGGCACAAGAACAGAAAAATAATAGTGATAAAATAAAAATACAATGCGCTTATAAAATTCCAATTATAAGCTTGTTACTTCTTATTCCTACCGCGATGGACGGAAATCCAGTATTTAAAAGGTGTTGTGTTGTGAGCACATGCGCTCACCGAGATTATGGAGAATCCCGTTGCCGGACGCACGTAAACGGCTTCAAAAGCCGGCGACGCGAGACCTTATTATAGCGAAAAAATCAGAAATTTCGGCCTCGGCGAACATGTGATGCGATGCGCAGCAGTGTCTCGGCTTATTCATTAGAATGCGATATACATTAAACTGCACACTAATGGCGCTTATTATTGGGTTAAGTCAGTAGCAGAGATGTACATCGCTGACCCTTGGACCGCTATAAAAGTGGAGAGTTATAAATTCGAAGCCCTTTTCTGTAGTCTGTCTGTACTATACATAATGGTCTGTAGCTATGTCGAATTCTCTTGAAATTTGGTATACGGAAATCCTATGACATTGCAATAATATGGTAGGTAACCACGATTTGATGCTGAAATCAGATTAGCCTGCAGAATACCCAACTCTTCGCCTGCTTATAGTGGAACTATCATGTTTGGACCCAATATATTTTTTTTGACGAACAGATGGTGTCTTTGTTGACTTTGTGGACCACGATGTTTTCGACCGAGAAGATGGTTTAAAGCTTTTATGGACATCAAGTATACGAAGTTATACGAGTTATAAAAATGAAATTAAAATAAAATAAAACGTTAGAAAACTCAATACATCAAATTATATCAAAATTACAAAAAAGAAACTAAGATTCAAGGTGTCAAACGTACCGTTGATGTACTCTAAATTATACATAGGTATACATAAATAAAAAGTTCCATAATAACAAAAGAGTGTCTGGAAGGGTTTTTTGCCTACTTTACATATTGCATGTACATTATTTTTGTCACTAACGATGTCCCGAAACTTTGCGTAACATTTTGTTGGCGACGCACCGCCTTATCGTTTCAGGAAGTCATTGACATTGATGATCCTGTAATGCGCTTCATGTACGTACACTTTCATTCACAGATAGCCTATTCGTTAGGTAATGCTTTATTTTTAAATTTGTTTTTAGTCTATATCATTTGAGCGGTGGTAATACCCAGTTACTATTGGTTTCCAGAATTCCCTGTAGCAGCATTATGATTTCAATTTCTTTTTATTATCTTAATTTGGTTTTTACTATTGTTAGTTAATGAGGATATTCAGTTTAGAATCCCATGGTCTGTATTTCCCGGTCGATACAGCATGTGATATGACAATTGTTTCTCAATTGGGAGGTCGATGGTTCGAATCCCTACAGTGGCAAGTACTTAATACATTCATGAATGTTTAGTAGTAATATCTTTGGGTGAAGGAAAATATCGTGACAAAACCTGCACGTCAAAGAAGATTCACAGTTCTTGGCAAACAGGTGTGTGGTCCCTAATCCGCATTTAACCCTCGTTTTAGACGAGACCAGTGCCAAGCAGGGGGACATTTATGTATAAGTTGATGACGGTGATGATAAATTACATCATTTAAATAATTGCAAATGATGACCTCAACTCTTTCTGTGCCTTTACAAAATATATTATCATTTGTAACGATGTATGTGTTTCTGAAAAGCGGAATTCCATCCATTATCTGGGTCAGCTCAAAAAGTCTGCGAGATATTTGAAGGCTGATTCTATTTATAACTAGGAACAACTGTTGCTAAAGGGATTTTTCTGGAATGGTGGAAAGAACAATAGGGTCGAAGATCTCTTCGTTTAGTATTTATTGATACATAAAGCGGGTACATACATTTCAATATCTGTATTTCGGGAGACAGTGCCTTCCCGACCTATACTACACTTTACATACAAACAATATGGGATGTAATTGCAATATTTAACCGTAACTATTAATGTAATAATAAGAGTATAGTGAGCGTTTTGTGAGTATTTGATTCGAATGCAAAACGAATTTAAAGAATAGGTTACCGATTCGATTTGGGTATAATTGGGCGAAACGTTGTTTTCCGGAAAGGATGTATATTTTGACGGGTTTTAAGCGATTGCATGCTGGGTTGAAGTTAAAATGTGCTACGGATATATTGTTTCATTTTAAAATTATATATTTCATTTAAAAAAATATACACTAGTAAATGAGCTGAACATTCCTTAAAATATTTTTCTTTTTTTTTTATAATACCAAGTGATCTGAGGCGTATTGCCAGTGCGTTTGTCATCCTTAGACACGTCTCATGTGTCTGTAATTTCACCAGCACTGTTAACCCTTCAAAACTGGGACGCAGTAATATAAACAGTAAGGTTAGTAATTCATACCTTTGGTATAATAAAGCCACATGTGCGCATGCGTCAAAAGTACTTTTATCATTTAAAAGTCATGAAAATAACGAACTGCATGAAACAATTTATACATTTTGCGACTTTTTGTCTTATCTAATGCATGAAAGTTACCGACTAATTACGTTCGTTGAATTTTTAAACCTCTTTATTTCTTTCTCTTCTTTTTAAACCTTCTCTTCTGAAGAATTTTTATTTTGCAGATGTGACCTTATTACTACGAGGGTTGCAGAACTTCAGCTGTGCCAAGCACAAGTCCGGTCGTTCATGGAGTAAGGCGAATTATCCATGACCAAACTGAAGCCATCCAAAGAAGGTCCAGGTCAAGAGAACCCTTAACCGACGAGCGTGTATGAAAGCAATGATGCGTGTTGATGAGGCGTAAGATGTGTGTTAGAACCGTAGCAAATGATCTCTGCCTATCCCGATGGGAAAAAGGCGTGAAGTATATGTATGGGTATATTCACATGCACATTTCAACCTATAGTTTTTTTATTGACTTCTCTGATAGGAACACCAACAATTTAAAATTAAATAAAATAAGAATACTAACACTTGAAAGCTAATTACAGATCGCCACAAATAGAAATATAATAAGGACACTTGGTACAAAATTGAACTAACCTATTATATAAAAAGACAACATCAATTCTGAGCCGCGCTAAGAAATTCCCACTCAGAGCTCTCCTTGCCGAAATAACATTTGTATTGAAAAAATGTAAATCAAAAGTACACAGAGTATTAAAATAACACACAACCTCGTTTTGTCTGTAATAGAATGTGAGATAGAACCAAATGAATTGTTTCACTGTCCCTGACATACGTGATAGCAAATTCGGACAGTCAATTAAGCACGATGCTATTTTTATTAATATAGCAAGAGATTTATTCACTCTCACAAAACGATTTTTTTTACAATTACA